TCCCGGCCGCGATGCAGTCAGGTGCCCACGAGCACCCTCGCCTGGCAGCAGCAGCGGTAGATGCTTCTTCTTCTTGCACCCTCTGACGACCCGACAGGAAATGCCGGACATGATCGTCCGACAGGAAAATGCCGCGCACGCTTGCCCGACAGGATAAATGCCAAGCCCTGCTTGGCCACGATGAGCGCCTTCACAAGGCACCTGCGCCTGGCTGCGATACGTGCCCCATGCGAGCACACGCCCCAAGCCGCAATCCCGATTTTCTTTCTTCTGGTAGTTCCAGGTCCGGTCCTACTGCGCTGACCTGGTCTTCTGGCTTTGGTCCTGTTGCTTCAGCTCAAACCTCCGGCTTCCTTCGGTTGCTGATCTTCACTCGGCTCCGAAGGTCTTCTTTTTTATAACCAGCAGTCCACAGCTGGTTCCTTGATCCTGCTCCGAAGGACCACTTGAAGAGGAACCAGACAAACGTTAAACTAAGAAACAGAAGGGGGGAATCGAAGCTTCTCTCGATCCGGCCTTCTACAACGCCTACGTTGGGTTCGGGAACAACGTATATGATCTCCGCAACGGAGTAACACAAAAGGGCGATAACCTCTTCCTTTTCAGAAAATAGGTTCAGGCGGGGATTACGGGTCTTCCAAAGTCGTCCCGGTCCCAACGCCTTTATTCTTCGATATGGACTGTTTCACTTTAAGGGGAGAATTCCTTGGGAATAAAACAGCAATTATCTTCAAACCGTTCCGTGAGAGATTAATTACTTTTCCCTATCACTTCCCTATACTTTTTCTTTCTTCTTCTTATTGACTGCTGGTCTTGCACTTTTTCCGAACGATTTGCAAGAAAAATCAATTTACTGAACTACCTCGAAGCTAAACGCGAAAGTTAGCCGCGCCATTTGTGCGCTTGCACAACTCAATTACACCAAATTTTACTATCACTCTCTCACGGTTTGCTCAATAATTTTATTTGTATAAGACATACATTTATACAATTTACTTATAAAGATAGCAAAAAAAATATCTATACTACCATATACATTACATTTTCATATCAAAAAAACCCTTTATTTATTTAACAATATATGCTTATTTTACTCACACAATCAGTTCAAAGTTGGAATTTCTTAAATATTTAACATAGAAAGTTAAAACAATGTTTTCCACTTGAAATTATACATATCTTAACTAATACAATAGTTTAATTTACATTTTCTCTATACATTTCACTATTAAAACACTTTTAAATTTCTTATACAAAACTATCATTATTTCACTTATTCACAGGAATTTTCACATAAAATAACACAAAATTCACCTCTTTTACACGTACAATCAATCTGAAATGTTTTACAAGTCATTTTACATAAATTGCTGAAATTTGCAAATATTTAAATTTCTACATATTTGGCCTCCTAAGTACGTGGCTAGCGTGCGTCTATGAACTCATACTATTTGAACAACTAACTTTTGCACGGCTATCGACTATCAGTGAAAATGGAAAGTTTAGTATACACTAATATCAACAATATTAGGTGAATAAATAATTCTACATAATTCTCAAACGCCGAAAACTATTTCTAATCAGATTCTTATCAGTTATCATGTTTCTTATCAAACAATATAAGTGAATGTTTTCATAAATCAATCATAGAAAATAAGCATTTGTTTTCATACAAAACAAATCAAACTCATATAAGACAATACTTATGCAATTAATTTCCATTAATTCTACTTATGCACAGCGATCATCTCGACCGGGGAACAAATCCTGGTCTCTAACTTTATTTTAATATTTCTTTAAATTAACATTATTGGAAAGATGATTTCAACCGGGGAACAAATCCGGTAACGTAATTTATATCTTAAAAAATACCCTATATGAATTTATTAAGAGATATTACTAAGAAAACGATAAACTATTCCGGCCTGGGAGTCGAACCCAAGACCTTCGTATCATTAATTCGATATTTCTTTAAGATTCAACTAAGCATTTTCTTATCGGAATATTGTTGCTTGATAATTTGCTTTTTAGAAGCTTTTCGTAATCGGTTAACTAATAAATTGAAATATTCTTATAGGCGCGTCGCCAACAGTTAGAGTATTTTACCCTGTCCTAATACGACCTGTAAATCTGGACATAGACATCTGCCATAGAAGAGAGTATATGCCGTATCCGCCACTCCAAATTGACAAGTTACGGATACAATAAAATGGAGAATAAAAAAATATTACATCCGAATATAATATAAAAAATGCCCATTGGTAATCTAATTAGCAATAAAATAAATATAATGTTTGCATTTTAAATAATCATAAATTAACATCAACAATCTGAACATTGTAAATATTTCGATACCTTAATTGGCAAACCAGCCAACTCCACATTTAGTCAAAAAAATATTTTGGTATAAATTGTACGTAACAGTAGTTCGTCGTGATTTGTAAAAACGACAACTCCGATATGATCACAATTCTTTACATAAATCGCTATTAGAAAATCAGCCAACTCCGTGTGTTACGGAAAGTTACGATTTTGACAGCCAACTCCACTAAGTCGGCCATTTTGTATGGCGTTCGAGTCATGTACGGTTACCTCCCTACGTTTTGTTGAAGAAAATTATTAAAACGCGACAAAAGGAAAGGTAGTATTGAAAAATAGTTGAACATTAATACAAGGTATGGATACTTATTTACTTTTTCACAAAACAGTGCTAGTTAATAATGTAATTTTAAGATTTAATATTGGCTAGGAGTTGGCTGATTTGCTTCTTAATTTCTCACACTAGTGTTGGGAGTTATCCATTTTTATGTTTATTAAAAAGTAATTAAATTTTAATGTTGATATTTTTTTTAAACTTTACTTTTAACTTTACTTTTAAAGTTAAATTGATATTTTTTATCATTTTTGGCTCATTTTTGTGCTTATGGTGTTGTTTTTTTTAATTTGTATGCAGATGTCCCACTCACGTGCTAAAAAATACTGCAAATAAGCATGCAAAATGAACAGCATGAGCTTAATGAAACCAATAACTCTGTTTTATTTGTTAATAACCAATTTCCAAATCCGTATGACGCTTTGGTAGGGCATGATAGCGTAGCTTCTAATTCTACTTCATCGACTTTCTTTGATACATTGATTATATGGAAAATGAAAATATATAACCCTGAATCATTTGACAGTAAAAGTTTCGATAACCAAACATGTTCTAATACACAAACATATGAAATAGTGAAGAATGTTGCTATTGAGGACATATTTCCGCTTGAAACAGAACAACTCAGTCCAAGTTCTCACTCGGTTCAAGTTCTATCTCTTCGTCTTACTCCATCACTTATCTACAATTCTGAAAATGCCTCTAATAGTTTGGAACCATCTCAATCGTACCTCTCTACAAGTAATGATAAATCGAATGACGATTTGACCGTTCCTTTGATACAAGAAAAACTAACAGCTCATGAAACTATACCTCCTAACTTACCTACCTACCTAACCCCAACTGCCTGTCCTGAATTAATAAATAAATTAGTAGATTACAGTGATACTGATTCAGAATCGGAAGAACCGGTTATAAAAAGAAAGAAAAGGTGTCAAGTAAAGAAGGAAGAATGGACTAGTGAAATTAATAAAAAGAATAGAGAAAAGGGTAAAGAATATTGCGGTAAGAAAAGAGTTGATGGAGAGTGGAAAAAATATATAAAGAAACCAAAAAAGGTGTTGAAACCCCGGTGCAGTTGTAAGGAAAAGAGAAATAGTGTTATTCAGTGTCATAGTATTTCTGAAGATGACAGAAAAATATTATTTGATAAGTTTTGGAATATGACTTGGGATGAAAAACGAGTTTACGTGGATAATTTAGTAAAACTTTTACATACAAATAGGCAAAGAGATAGGAAAGACCCTCAAAAAATCTAAAAGAGTTAACACTTTTATTTACCACCTAATAAAAGGATATGATAAGAGTCTGTAAAACGTTATTTCTAAATACCTTCTCTATCGGTAAATCATGTATCTGGGGTTGGAAGGTTGAAGTTGGTGGAAAGAATACTGATGAACAATTACCAGAAAGTACTCCCAGAAATCCATTCAACCAAGAAATTAAAACTTTACAGGACTTTTTAGATGACTAACCTAAAATGCCTTCAGATTATTGTAGAAAGAGGACAACACAGACATACATACAACCAGACATATCATCCAAACAGCAACTTTATAAAATGTATAAAGATTATTGTGAGTCAAAAAACAAAAAACACTATCTATTGCCACTTTTACAAATACCCTAACCATACAAAAATAGCTTTATTCAAACCGAAGAAAGACGGTACATCTGTAACGGATACAAGATGGGCCATATTACTAAAGAGACTTACGAAGAGCATGTAAATAAAAAGAACGAAGCGAGAATGGAAAAAGAATCTGATAAAGAAAAAAAGGAATTTGTCTTTACTGCAGATCTCCAAGCAGTTCTTTTAGCACCGCGATCCTATGTCTTCAAATTACTACAAGACTAAGCTGTGTGTTCACAACTGGTGTATTTATGACATGAAAACTAGCGATGGGTATTGCTTTCTATGGAATGAGGCCGAAGGTGGGCTTAATTCTGATGAGTTTGCAACGATTTTAACCAATTTCTTTATGAATAAAGTGGTCCCAAAAATGGGAGATAACAACAGATTCATAACTTTGTACACGGATGGGTGTACGTATCAAAATAGAAACGTTACTTTAAGCAATGCTCTCCTCAACATAGCTATGCTGAATAATGTTACAATTGAGCAAAAATATTTGGAACTAGGCCACACCCAAATGGAGGTTGACAGTATGCACGCAATGATTGAAAAAAAAAACTAAAAAATCAAGTGATTAATGTTCCAGCCGAGTACATTACCATTTGTAAGAATGCAAAAAAATCAAAACCGTACACAGTCGAATACCTAAACTATTCTTACTTCAAGAATTTTAAAAATTTACAATTTTACACCTCCATAAGACCAGGAAAAATGAAGGGAGACCCTAAGGTACATAAATTACTTAAATTTTATTAATTATTATTGCTACTATATTGGATCGATACGATAAGTTCTGTTTCTCTTTTCCAGGTTACCGACATACGAGCTCTTAAGTATGCACCCTCTGGAGAAATTTTTTATAAACTTAAATTAACTGATGAATATAAATTACTCAACCAACGCAGGAATGCCCGAATTAACAACATTCCTTTTAATAATATACCTAACCTATACAACGAACGCAGGAAAATTACAAAAAAAAAAGTTCTTAGATTTACTCAATGCCGAGAGATTACCAAAACTATTATGACAACCTTCCTCATGAAGCCTAAAATATATTTAACATTATTTGATTATTATTAAGTGTATTAACATATCTTATAATTAAAACTTAAAAAGAAAAATAAACTTTTATTTAAAATTGATTTATCGAGTAAACCAGCTAACTCCTAGTTCACATACTTTAACAAGAAAGGAAAAACGGATAACTCCTAAAAACGCTGTAGTATTGTAATTAAAACGTATAAAGGGTTTTACAGTATTAAAAATAACAATTTACGATAATATCTACGAACGGTGTTTTAGATTTTTTCATAAGTAGTCTACAAAAAATATTATACAGTTTTAAGTGTCTCCTGAAAAACTTGCTCGTATGGAGTTAGCTGGTTTGCCAATTAAGGTATCGATTTATAAATGCGAAATGATATTTCCTCAATATCTATCAATCCTCCCTACCTTGAGGAGAGTGTCTCGATAAATAATATTGACTTCAGTATGTTAAGCTAAGTTAATGAGGTGTCTAATATGCTGCAAAATTATTCTTTAAAATAATGTATGCAACACTATTTAAATAGAGAAAATTATCGTAACAGGTATGCAATTTAAACTATGTGTAGTGTTTATATTTTTGCTTTTTATTAATTAGTTACTAGTTCTAATAATACAATTGTTAGCAAAATCATCATATTATATAAAAGAAGGCACCCGTACAGTATCAAAAGCATTCATATTGCAAGGCGTTTGGTTGTCCACTGTCTACGGCTTCATTTACCGTACGTATTGTACGTAAAAGGTATTATTTGTATGACTTACGAATAATTATTGTGTATGTAATTACTTTGCAAGTGAGTAATACAAATCAGAAGGGTGATGTTCTTAAAGCATAAAAGTAAGTTTTGAATATAATGGTCCATCTAGGTATAATGTCTGAGAAAAAAGTTCTCAGATTGAAAATCTATGGTCATGATGCATTTAAGTTTTTAAAACGTTTCAAAAAAGTTATAGAGGAAAAATTTAGCGTTAAATGTCAGTGCATCGCAACGTTGAATTATAACGTATTTAAATCTCGGTAGGAATGTTACCCCTCCAGATTGTCGGGAATGTGAGCCTTTGAGACACGGGTATGTTGGAGCTTTGATTATGTGAAAACACGTATTGCGCTTTTCATATTGAAAACAAGTGTTAGTAACGCGTTAAAGCATTTTGCAATGTTTGTTATTTAATTTTAAAATAATTTGTTATTTTGTATATTTGCTATCAACATCATTATAACAGCTCTTCACAAGTATACTGCTTAACATAGGCTTTCCCCAAGGATACCGCCACGCACACATGTCTTAACATATATAAACGATGCTAACACGCACACATACACACACACACACACACGCGCACGCACACACACACACACACCCACACACACACGCACACACACACGCGCACGCGCACACACACACACACACACACACACACACACACACACACACACACACACACACACACACACACACACACACACACCTACGCGCGCGCTCTTATTTTTATTTATTAGGTTCTCTAACAGTTATAACACAATACCAGTATATTTGAATAAAAAAAATACAAGTTCCAACATGTCTTAAACTAAATGCATAACTACTTTCCCAAACACATCGTGCGTTTAATAATAATAAGTTACGTCTATGTGAAAGAAAAATCATAAAACCAATTTTAAGTTATTTTTTAACAAATTACAGAAGATATTTTTTTGTGATAAAATACCTGATATGCTTACTAAAATGTTAAAAAGAATCAAAATTAAGATCTACCGATGTGCTGTATTTATTGTAAAATCTACTTAATCTAGGAACAGGAGAGAAATGACCAAGTTTAGTCTTACGCATTGGTGGGTTCATAGGCTGAATAGGCTTTCTCGGAAGCCGATAAGATATTCAGAAGGAAAAGGAATTTATCAAAGGAGGACAGTCTATCTTATTATTGAAAAGCTTGTATACATACATACATACATAAACATAAACACTCACGCCTGTCACCCAGAGGGGTAGACAGAGACTACAGACTTCCATTTAGCACGATCCTGACATACCTTTCTCGCCTCTTCCACATCCATATACCTACGCATACATGCTCGTCGGTTAAGGGTACTCTTAATTTGGCCCATTTTTAGTATATCGCTAATTTGCTCGACAAACTTTCGCATAGGACGTCCCTTTCCGACTCTTCCATTCACTTCTGCAACATATATTTGCTTTGTCAGTCTTTCCGCATTCATTCTTTCTACATGACCAAACCACCGAAGCATTCCTTTCCTAATCCTGGTCACCGCATCATCTTGCAAACCACACTCTTCTTTTATCACATAGTTTCTCACCCTGTCACTCAGATTCAGCCCTATACTCTCGTGCTTCTTCTGCCACACCCAACTTACACTACCATGCGTTAAAGTAGGGACTAATACAGCACTGTGAATTGCCATACGTGCCTTTTTTTGACACATTCTGACCTTTCACAATAGAGTGTAGAGCCCCATTTACTTTATTTCCTGCATTCACTCGTCGTTCAATATCCTTATCATATATCCCATCCCTGCTGAATATACATCCCAAATATACGAACTCATCCACTTGCTCAATTAACTCTCCTTCTATTTTTATTTCACATACCGTTTTGCTTTCATATCTTTCAAAAACCATCACCTTCGTCTTACTTGCGTTCACTTTCATTGCCCTTTCTTTTAATGACCTGTTCATTAATGTAACCATCATTTGCAACTCGGCCGCCGACGACGCAAGTATGACTTGATCATCGGCGTACAAAAGGCATTTGATGGTTAACTCACCCATTCTTAACCCGCATTCTTCAACTTTCAAATTTTCCAAACAACTGTCAATAAATAGGTTGAACAGCCACGGGGAAGCTACACAGCCCTGTCTGACACCTTTATGGATGCCAAACCAGTCCGAGTAGACCCCGTTGATTCTAACACAAGCACTCGAGTCCCTATACAGAGACTTTAATGCCTGTATCAAACCAGCGCTCAACCTAAATGCGTTCAGCGTTTGCCATAACACATCCCTGTCCACTCTGTCATAAGACTTTTCCAAGTCCATGAATGCACAAAAAACTTTTTGGTTTTTCGCCAAAAACTTCCCACGATCATGCGCATGGAAAAAACATGATCTTTACACCCCATTCCCTTTCTAAATCCCGCTTGCACATTCCAAATTTTTTCATCAGTTTCTTTCATAACTCTTTCAATTAGTACCTTAGCATACAGTTTTCCCACAATGCTAAGAAGGCTGATACCACGGTAGTTTTTACAGTCCTGCTGTGACCCTTTTCCCTTATATATTGGAACTATCACGGCTTTGCACCAGTCTACCGGTACCCACTTTAGTTCCCAACATAAATTAAACAAGGTGTACAGCAGGCCTGCCACCACGTCCTCTCCAGCCCTTAGCATTTCGCGTGAAACTCTATCATATCCGGCTGCCTTACCTACTTTCATGCTTTTCATTGCTTTCTTTATTTTATCTATACTTATATCCCTATCTCTTTCATCTTCTTTCGGAATTTCTAATTCATTTATTTCACACTTCTCCTCACTCATAAATTCGCTTTCAAAATATTCCTTCCATCTCTTTAGACTCAACACTTCATCATTCAGGATACAGCCATTCTCGTCTCGTATCGCATTCAATCTAGGCTGTTTTGAAAGTCCCCTGGTATTACTTACGAGTTTCCAGAACATTTTAATATTTGCCTGGAAGTTATCCGATATTCTTCTATCATTCCTATTCGTTCTTTCTTGCTTTTTCCTTTCAACTAATTCTTTTACTCTCTTATTTAAACGTTTAAACTCAGCCTTTTTTCTTTCATTCTCATCATTCTTACCGCCAGAATTACCAGCTTTGGTCGCTAGTAAATCTAGCCATGCTCTCTTCTTTGCTTCAACTTCCATACGTACCTCATCATCCCACCATAACGTATTGTTTTTCATTTCATTCTTTCTCTTACTAACACTACATACTTCGGTAGCTGCATCCACTAAACCTTTCTTAACATTATGCCACACATTCTCCAAGTCTAACTCATTCACACACAACTCATCCAAATTACTTATATTTTCTCTCAGTCTGCATTTGTACTTGTCTTTCACATCTTCATCTTATAACCTCTCAATTCTTATACGCTGTAACGCAGTGGTAGACACAGATGTCCTATGCCACCAACGTCTGAATAAACCCCTAATTCGGCATAAGTCCAGGTAGTGGTTCGTCCCTACGTTGGACCCACGGTAAACTCTTGTATCCACCACTGCGCTCCTCATTCTTTCATCCACAGTTATGAAATCTATCATGCTTCTATCATCACCTCTTTCCCAAGTATACATGTGAATCTTCTTATGACGAAAGAAAGTGTTCGTCACAAAAAGATTCCTTGCCACACATACGGTGAGGAGGCTTTCACCATTCTCATTTATACTTTCATCACCAAACGTTCCCAATATCCTTTCATAACCAAGCCTTCTCACCCCAACCTTTCCATTAAAATCTCCTAGCATAATAATATTTTCATTTCCCTTACACTTCATTAACACCATCCTTACCATTTCCCAAAACTGCTCCCGGATATAAGTGGGCTTAGACATGTCTGGGGCGTAGACCCCTAATACAAACAACTTCTTTAAGCCCACCTTCATTCATATCCATAGCAGTCTTGGGCTTACACATTCATACTCTTTCACACATTGGCCCATTCTTTCTGAAAGGATGATACCTACTCCCTGGCATGCCCGCTCGATCTCGTCTACACCAGACCAGTATGCGGTATACATGCCATGTGCAGTGACATCCTTCCCCTTCCTTTTCGTCTCATTTACACATAATACATCTATTCCTCTATCATACATCATATCGCATACTTCATCCATTTTATCATTCATTGCCCCACATACATTCAACGTAGCAAGACGGGCCTCTGCAATCCACTTTTCACCTCTCTGGGAGACAGAACGTGACGGGTGGCGAACCTCGTCGCCGGTTTTCCTCCCGGAGATTCTTCGCACCCCTGCCCCATTAAAG